CTCTCGTGGATGGGATGGATGGGATGGGTGGCTGTGTCGTGTGTGTTGTGTTGTGTTGTGTTGTGTGTTGGGGTATGTCCGTATGTATTTAGGCGTACAAGGAGGCTACGGTGGACGTGTACCAGCCCAAGGTATGTTTGAGCATCATCGCCTCATCCTTCGAAGTCAAACGGGGCGGCCGACAGGTCAGACAGTCAGTTCCTTCCCATTGACACACACACACACACAGACTCACACTCACTCACGCACACGCATTACTTACGGGACAGCTGTATGTGTGTGGGTTTGGTGTGGTGTGTGGTCAGACGTGTTCGATATTCGTTGGCGAGGATGTCAAGACCACTGGTGGGGTGGGCAGCTGAACACTGCTGGGCAGCTGATCCGTCGGACCTGCCTGTCTGACGTGTCCCTTGTGTGTGGTGCAGCTGGTCCGGACATCAAGGCGTTGATAGCGTCGCACAAGCAGCAGGCCGAGTACATCAACGCACTGCATGAGGGTACATCTACGCCAAACGATATTAAGGCACCACTCGCACATCCGTGCGTCCCTCGTGTCTGTCATATCGGTGCAGAACTTCGCAAGATGCAGACGACCACATACCGGCCATTTTCGTGCGCAAACCCAACACACCCCACCCCACCCCACCCCACCCCCACACACGCCTTCTGGGCTCTATGCCATTTGCACCTGTCGTCTCATGTTGTGTTGTGTTGCGTGAGGTCCTTCAGGACGGATGCGTCGGGTGGTTTGGCCAACATCCCTGTGGTGGGCGCTAGTACGGGGCTCGGGGGCGGCGGCAGCATCATCGCCTCACCCCCACAGCCGTAAGGAGCCATCCAACAATAAATAAATGCGATCTGATCTGCACACACACCAACACACACACGCATATACGTACGTGTATGTGTATATGTGTATGTATGTGTGTGTGTGTGTGTGTTGTATGGTCAGCGTTGTGTCGTCGATAAGTCCCGCGCCGCGCTCCGGCGTTTTCACCAGCACACCATACTCATCGGTACGGGACGCCAGCACCTGCGCACGAAAAGATGCAGCACGAATGTGCGACTGACTGGTGCGGCTGTAGGCGGCTGGTGGTGGTGGTGCTGTGGGTGGCGGGCAGAACCGCCCCGTGGCCGCGCAGTAGACCGAACACACACACAATAAATAGCACATCAATACCACAATACAATAAATAAAGATCCACCGAGCTGCACACAACACATTCGCACAAAAGAGACAGACAGACAGGGAGATGGTAGCGTAGCAGGCAAAAACGCAGACAGCTATGAGGGAGGACGGAAGGCACTCAGGCAGTGTGTGTGTGAGGCGGGCGGATATACCTACCGGTGGAGGAGGGCAGATGAGATGAGATGAGATGAGATGGCTGCCGGGCGGAGGAAGGCGATAGAATACGGGCGGTGGATTGATTGATGGCTGGGCTGCCAGCGAAATCCCCCGCATGCATGTCTCTCTCCGTGTGGTGTCTGCGTACGCAAACACATGAGTGGGATGGCTGCGATGCATGTGTGTGTGTTGCCTGTCTGCGCGTTCTGCATCCATCGCACCGATGGCACCTCTCTCCGGCTGATTGGTGGTTGTGGATAGGATATGTACCCCTGGCTGGCTGGCTGGCTGGCTGGCTGCTCCATGGTGATTCAGTGATTGCATATGCGCGTGCCGTGTGACTGCAGACCGACAGTACTTAGTTACTGCATGTTTGCACCGCGTGTTCGTGTGTGGTGTCTGCGTGTGTGTGCACGTCTCTCTCTGTCGAGCTCGATGATACATGGGACCTTTTTTGTGGGTGTGCATGTCCCTTGACACACATACATATGTGCGTGTGGATCCACAAACATATCAATGTGTCTTGCACACAGGCACTCACACACAGGGACTTTGATTGAAAAAAAAGACACCGGCGAACCAACTACCTTAGTCTAGTCATATGCAGACATACACACACAGCACAGCACAGCAGAACAGAACAGACAGAACAGGTAGGCTATCTATCGACACACAAAACGAAGGGCAGACGGAGGAGCTGGAAAACCAATCTGCCTCTTCTTCTCACGAAAGAGGCATGCGTCAACCAATGATATACATCAAGTGGGTCAACGAGTGGCGGGGAGTGAGTGAGCTCACACTATTGCACAACATGAACAGCAAGCAGGTCACTCGCAATGCCGCTCGCAACGCCGTGCGGGGCCCCGTGCCCTCTCTCGGGCTGAGGACCCCAGTGCACTGCACTCACTGGCGTCGCAGGCAGGCAACAACGCGAGAAACCGAACCAAAACCGACGTCACGTCACAGGGACAGACTGGTTTCACACAGAGAGACTGTACATCACCCAGTAAACCAACCAACCAACCAATCGGCCAATCAGGTTGCGTTGCAATGCATCTGTGCTTCCTTCGATCCTGTCTGGTCTGCCTGCGGTGTTTGTGTGTCAGTCAGTGCTGTGTGCTCCGACCTCACCAGCGAGTGACGTGACGCCAACACAACACAGAGGACAGACCATCTGAGTGAGTGAGCTGTTTGTTGTTGACATCACACGCCAGAAGCTGAGAACACGTGCACCCCACCCCCAGGCCACCTGTGTCTGCCTGACCCCCTGTCTGTCAAGTGAGTGAATGAGTGAATGAGTGAGTGAGTGCCCAGGTGGCTCGAAAGAGGGAGAGAGGGATGATGACATGCCGGGCCAACACCGCTCGTTGATTCATTCAGTCGTCCAATCAATCATCACGAGAACGCGCGCAGTCCGAAAAAGAAGCTGGCATGCACACACTTGTCGATTATCCCTTTTGACCCACTGCCTGCCTGCGCGCGATGGAGAGAGAGAGAGAGGTGTGTCATGAGTGAGTGAGTGAGTGAGTCGTTCGTTCTATGAGGGAGACGGACGGACAGATGGATTCGGCGGACGAACGACATGAATGCACGTACACAGCAATCGATATCGATCTAGTGACACAGCCATATTTATGGCGACAGATATAGCTGCACACGACACGGCACAACACAACACAGCCCTGAGTCAGCCAGACAGCCAGACAGCCAGGCATCCACGGCCCCATCCATCCATCCATCCATCATCCCAGTTGTAGGCAGACAAATCACTGGTGGTAGCAGAGCAAGTAGGAACATAAATGCACAAACACACACACACACACTGCACAGGCAGCCAGCCACACCTGACGCCCACTCCTATCTGTCTGTCTGATCATCCCCCTAGCCCCGTCCCTGCCCCCAGGCGTCCTCCACCGTCACGCCGCCCTGCACCGAGTTGAGCTACACACATAAACACACACACACACCAACAACTCACGACACCGTGCAATGCACACCGATCGTTGTGTGAGTGCTGTGCTGTGTTCCCAGTCCACCACGTCGTGCGTGAATTAGTCACTCAGTAAGTCAGTCGCTTGGTGCTTACAGATGGGCAGATTGACGGTGCAGGTCCACATGTTGGCCTCGTTCCATCGTTCCAGGTCATCTTGACCGCGCGGCTCGGGTCCCACAGCCCCAGGGGCTCCAGCGAACCGACCAAATACAGGTTCTGACCAAAGTGCACACACCACACACACGACAGGCCAGCCACGACCATGCCACCCATGATGGGATGACCGCCTCCTCTTTCCCCCCAGTCGCCCTCTGCCCACCCACCCGTGTGTCGTATTTGATGCGAAAATTCATGGCGTCTGGCATCACGCCGGAGGGCCTCTGCGAGGGCGTCCTCGTACATCTTGGCCTTCGTGTCCTTGAGCAACTGCTGATAACGCGCCCGGGTGGTCTCGCGCGGCACGGTCTTGGGGGGAAGCTTGGTCGTGAGGGCCGCCGGCACCCACTGCCGCTCGTTGGGCGGCACATAGCGGGGCGGCTCGGGCAGCGGCGGAATGGGCGGGACAACCCCACCTGACACGAAAGACACACACACAGACAGGCAGGGAAGAGGTGAGAGGCCATCCGACACGCATGATCATTCCTCTGTTTTCTCTCCCTTTTCCCCCCTTGCGTACGTACCTCGCGCACTTGAGGAAGCCCCTCCCAAGTGGGACGAGCCTACGGACGGAGTTTGAACCATTTTGCCCTCCGTTTTTGCGAGTTTTTACCTACAATATGAGCTCGCACGAGGATCGCCATTGCGTATCCACCTGTTTACTGCCTCTGCCCTCCGCGTGCTGCCTGTTGCGTGTCTGTGTTGCATGTCGGGTGGTGTTTCATGTTGAGTAGAGGACTTGGCCTCAGGCCGGCTAGGGTCCTGCCTGAAACTGCTCCTGCCGTGACTCGCAGAGGAAAATCACCCGATAGATCTACGGGGGTAGGTGAGCACATCTGAATAGATGACACGTGCACCGCGTTTAATTCTCTGACGCAGCTAGCTATCTCCCTGCCACTAAGCTTGTGCTGCAGATCTGCCGTGCTGCTGCAGACCTCTGCAGCATCTTCGATCAACGTTCCCCGCCCTCCCATCTATATATGCGGCCCCTCTTGTCACTCATTGTCGCTACGGTCTTCATGACCTCGAGCTCTGCAAACAGCCTCACTGACGACAATGCATCCCTTGTGAGAAGACCGAGGCTTCAGTTCTCGTTCATGCAGCCACCGCTGGGCCATACGAGGCGGCGGATATGCAGCCGGCATTGTCGTGGCTTAACAGAAAGGCGCCGGCCTGCGACCGTCATCATGATGATGTCGTCTGTTTCTCGATCATCATCCCCCTTGGGCGTCTCGAGGAGGGACCACACAGACGGAGAGGCATCAGCAGTGCCCTCACTATCGCTCTCTGCGGCCGGTGTGGACCCCTTCTCGCGGGACAGCGGCGCCGACCTGAACTTGTTGCAGAGGCTCAAACAGGCGGCCGACGAGCTGCGGTCTCCGGCACCTGTCAAGATCCCCCGCACCCGCATCAACCAGGACTTCGCTGTGCAGATGATGCGGCAGAGTTACAACGTCGCTGATGAACTGGACTTCGTGCCCATGAATGGTGGGTAGGTGGGATGACGGGCAGGCAGGCAAGCAGGCAGGCAGGCAAGCAGAGAGAGGAGTGTGGCGGCGCTCTCATTGTCAGTCGGTCACTGTGTGGTGTGTGTGTTTGTGGTGTGTGCAGATTTCCAGAAGGATTTCTTCCTCTATCGACAGAATGAGTGGGAGCGTTATCGCGAGAGGCTCAAGCCAATGCCGATCACACAGGGAGGTGAGGTGAGGGGGTAGATTGATTAGCTAGGAGGGGAGAGGACAGACAGGACAGGATGTCCATCCACTCAGTCAGTCGTGACGCCTCGGATCGGATCCGCTGCCTTTGTCTTGCAGATTTGGCCGATGCGAACTATTTCGATTTCATATCGTTCGCACAATACCTGACGCTCTACACCGAGATGTGCTCCGGCCAACAGCTGTTCGTCGAAAAGGTCAATCAATCAATTGACAGATAACAACAAGGAAGGGTGCAGTGGGTGCATGGTGCACAGACGTGCGCGTCGACCGTGACCTCTGTCGCGACGCAACATAGATGTGTGTATTGTATGTCTGTCTGTCTGTCGGCATCGAATGATTCGATGCGTCGCGTCAGACGGGTGCGACGGGCGAGGAGCAGCTCGTGCGTCGACCCGCTTTCCTGGCTGACAACAGCCTCCTGCCATCCGAACACAGCCGAAGGGTACGGTACGCACGCACGCCTACCTGATCAGACAGACAGACTGCAGGCAGTGAGTGCTTCTCTCCTCTGTTGGGTGTGGTGTGTGTGGCCCAATCCAATCAATGTGTCTGTCTGTCGTTTGTTCCATCCATGTGTGCCTCGGCAAGCGCAGGTGGGCGACCGTTTGCTGGACTTCCTTATCGATCGGTTCAACACGGATGAGAGCGGCAAGACGTGCTGCATCATACGGGCGGCCGCCCGGCCATCCCCCTCCTTCGTCGTGTCCAATGTGCAGCAGATCGCCAACCTCATGACCATCCTCGGATACGCCGAAAAAGGAGAGGCCAAACTCACTGGTACGCACCCACCCACCGCAGCAACACACACAACAACAGTCAGAAGCAGGAACACACCGGTCGCACATTGCAGATGCGGATGGAGATGTGTGTGTGTGTGTAGGTGAGAGGGACGACGGCAAGTTTTCCTTCGAGATGATGTTGGTGTTGCCGGCCACTCTATGGGGGCAGCAGGTGCTGTCTATCCGGGGCGCTGGCCTGCCAAACGACTATGAGGCCAAGATTGCCATGGCGTACACAAGAAGGTGCCCAGAGACCGGCACTGCCGATTTCCATATGTCTGTGTCTGTGGGTGTGCTGTGCTGTGCCTGTGTGTGAAGGTGTGGCTACCGCGCCACCTACAGGACGTCCTTCGAGGGCGGCAGCAGTGTGGTGCACACATTCCTGGTGGAGCCACCGCCGTCAGGGAGCGGGGGAGCCGCCGTGGTCTAGGCCAGCTGGCTGTGTGGGTGCCGTGCAGTGCCGTGTTCAGATGAGTCTTTGTCAATTGGGTCTGTGTCAGTCAGTCGATTTGGCATTTGGACAATTGATTGACGCACATACATTTAGTGTACATGGACCGACCCGACTGACTGATGTGTATGACGGACAGAGTCATCAAGTCATTCACGCGTGCCGTGTTGTGCCCTGGCTGCATCCATCCCATCCACACAGTGAGTATTTGATTTGCAGTCCACTCTAAGAAATGCGTCAGTCAGTCAAACACCCTCAATCACACACAACAGGGGTTGTGCAGACCGCGCCAGCCAGCGCTCAAAAATGCAGCGCATTGGTTGCAATGCCTGCCTGCCCCCTGAGTACATGGATGTCGGCTGTCTACCAGAACCTGGTGTATTTGTGTTTGTCGAGTGGCCTGTAGTATGACTTGTCCTCCCACCACTTGGCCTGCATCCGCCCATAACCCTTCACCTCATGATACCTATCACCACACAACACAACACAACACACGCGCAGACAGACACTGAAGGGCATTGATTGCAATGCATTCATCGCCTGCTCTGCTCCCGTCCGTGTGCATCTATCTATCTATCTATCTGACACCCCCCAGATCACCCACCTGTATCTGCAGTATTTGTCGAATTTGAGTTTCTTCTTGCGCGTGGCCCAGTAGCCGTGCCGGTGATACCAACGCCACTTGCTCGGCTGCCACGTCCCTTACCACACACACGCATGCCATGCCATTGGTTGCTTTGCTCGTCTGCATTGATTGCATGGTGTCTGCCTGCCTAGACGCCTGTCTGTCTGTGTGCGGCCGGCCCAGCTTGCTTACTTCTCATGAGTCGTCCGACCCACCAGAGGAGGCCGTCCCGCGCCACCCAACGCTCCACCACATCACGACCCATGTCAGTCAGCGACACACCCAGCTCACTCCGACCAACAGACCCATTCACAGCAGCAGCCGCTGACGCAGCAGATGAAGCCGCCTCACCAGCCACTGCAGGTGACACGTTTGCCAGCCGTGCAGCGCTCTGCAGGCCGTCGAACGATGTCTTGATGGTCTCCAGCAGGCCGCTGGCCGCACAAGGAAGCCCTGCTGTTGCTGCTGGTGGTGCGGGTGACGAGATGCCATGGAATGTGGCTGCCGTGCTGGTGTGGCGGCATGGCGATGAGCGCAGGGCGCTGCTCAATAGCCGATAGCCGTACCTCAGCGCCATCCTCTCTTCGCAGTGTCAGAGTCACAAGGATCGGTGAAATTCAGCTCTCGCCGGGCTTTATATGTCCTTGACGTCTGCAGCCCAAGCAGCAACAGGATCAGCTGCTATATCCACCACACCACCACCAGCAGATCTTCAACACTGAGCTCGCAAATGGTTCGCCGGCGAACCGTGCGTGTTACTCAGGGCCCCGAAGCAATGGTCAGTTCAGATCCAGAAAACAAAGCACCCTCATGCACACAAGATGCGATCGATGTATTGCCTGCCTGTTGTGCAGATCTGCTTTGCTTCGAAAGCAGCAGAAAGCACAGGCGCCAACAGCCAACCCTCTCAGCCCTGATAGATACGGCAGCGGAAGCCGGGCAGCAAAGATCCGTCACAAACAAGCGCAGATGGAGACTGCCAATGGCACATCCGAGGTAGTTGGGCCGTCTGATGCTGCTGGTGCTTCGCTGGACCGTCCGTCGGCCGCCCGTCTGCTAGAGTTGAAGGAGAGGGAGAAGGAGCTCACCAGCACCCTCAGCGACCTCCACGCCAAAGCCCTGACCTTGGTGCAGAGCCACCTCACGGGCCTCTATGACGTCACGGAGCAGCAGAAAGTGTTCCAGAGGGACGCCCAGCAGCTGCAGGCCACCCTGCAGTTCGTCCACGAGACCTCTGAGAAGCTCTCGTCAAGGGTGCGGCGGCTCGACACCGTCCGCTCGCGAATCGAGGCCGCCCTGCAGCTGGTCGAGGACCTCCTCGACCTCAAGAACTGCGCCGAGGGGGTGGAGTCGGCAATGGGCCGTGGCGACTATGAGACGGCCGCCAAGCACATTGCCAAGTACCGCTCCCTGGCGCAGCAGTTCCGGCAGGGAGGGGACGCGAGTGCGCTGGAGGACTCATCTGCGGTGCTGCAGAGCCTCAAGGCCTCTGAGAAGGCCCTCACGCAGATGGTGCGGGACCAGTTCGACAAAGCCATTACCAACCGCGACAAGACGGGGGTGTCGCGGTACGCCAAGCTCTTCTATCCCTTGGGTCTTGAGCGTGAGGGCATCAATCGGTACATCACGTTCATCCGGAGCTTCCTCAGCGACCAGGCGAGCATCGAGTTCAAGACCCTGCTGGACCCCTTCGGCAAGTCCAAGGAGCTGCGGGCGCAGCAGAGCGGGCAGCCGCACGCAGAGTGTCTCATGAAGGTCTTCATCCTCATTGCCGACATCATACAGGAGCACCAACAGGTACAGCTGTGTGCGGGGGAGGGCGGATGGATGGATGGATGGATGGCTACTGGATGGCATACCTACCGTACGTCTGTGTGTGTCGCTTGCTTTATTGTAGAACATAGAGGAGGAGTTTGGGAGCGAGAATTTCATCTTGTTTCTGCGAGGCCTGCAGGAGGAGGCCGACGTGCAGGGCACCAAAGTCCTCGACAAGTTCGTCCAGAACAAGTGAGTGAGTCAGTGCCATAGATAGATAGATTGACAGCGCTCCGTCCCGCCACCCGCCCTGTGGTCATGCGATTGATTCATCAGGGCATCCGTATTGCGTCTGAAGGCCGACGATGCCGCATCGAGCACGATGGATGTCAGGTCAGTCAGCGGGTTTGGTGGGCCCGGGCCGCCCGTCGTGTGTAAATTAACCAAGCCATTGATTGGTGCATGTCTGTCTGTCTGTCTGTTTGCTGTGTTGGTTGGTAACAGGCCGATGGATCTTGTGTTGGAGGAGTTGGCATTGCTGAGCCAGCGGTGTCAGCAGTTCGACAGGTACCTGAGGGACTGCTCACATAACGTCCTCGATACTCTCAACCCACAATCAAACCTAATGAAGGAAATACGGGTGAGAGAACACACATTGAGAGGAATGCATCCGTGGTTCGGTTGGTTCGTGTGCCATCCGTTTCAGGACGGCACCACCAGTGGATCAGGGCGGCAGTTCAGCGAGGACGATGGGTTGGCGGTGCTGAGCGGCCTTACCAAGCGCATGCAGGAGGTCATGAACTTCTATGTATCTCTCGAACAAACCTTCATGATCAAGTGAGGCCTGCAGGCACTTGACGCACACAGGGAACAGAAAGGAGGACCACAAGCGCTCCAATTGTCATTCATGTCTTTCCCTGCGTCGCCTCAGGTCGGTGCGGTTTGCGCTTCACGAGAGCGATGAGGTGGCGTGGGACGACCCCGACCAGATGACGTCGACCTTCGTCGATGACGTCTTCTTCATTCTCAGGAAGTGCATCACCAGAGGTCGGTCAACCAAAACACACTTAAAACACAGAGCACAGCACCCACATGACATGCAGTGCAGGTCGGTCGATCGAACGTTGTGCTTCCTTCTGCTGTTGTGTCGTGTGGTGTTGGTGGGTGGGGTGCAGGTATCAGCAGCGGTGATGTGTTTGCGGTGTGTGCGGTGGTCAACCACGTGACGGCCACGCTGAGCACCGACGTCAAGGCGGTGCTGCAGGAGAACCTCCAGGAGTCAAAGAGACTATACCAACAATACACCAGCGTACGTACGTCACGTGGGCGGCTGATGCGATGCATGGCATGGGAGAGGGAGGAACAGCTGCAAACAGACACATGCGGCATGGCATGCATTTCATGTCATGTGGCTGTGGGTGTGTGCTGTGCATCGCATCAATCAGGATGTGAGTCATCTGACAGCATTTGACGCTAAGGAGATGATTCCGCCCGACCCCCCAATGGTCAAGAAGGACCAGGCGGGACAGCCTATCAAACCTCTTGGTATGTATAGTATGGGGGGATGTCCATCCATCCATCCATCAGCATACCTCGGCAGGATATGATGTGCTGTCGCCTGTTTGTTTCCTGTCCATCATGTCATGTAGGTGCCGCTTACAGCTGGACACACTCCGTCAACAACCTTCAGGTATGCACTGCGGACATGCACCTGCCTGCCTGCCAGGCCATTGATCGATCGACGCTGCGCATGCCATGCACAGGCGTGTTGCGAGTACCTGGAGCGTCTGAAGGGTCAGTGCGAGGCCGAGTTCGACGAAATATTCGGAGGGGCGACACGGCCTGTCGAGGGAGGTGAGACAGACAGAGAGAGCAGCTGTACACACTCCCACGACCATGCATCAATCATGTCGACGGTCACACTCGCCTCTGTATGGCCTTAAAACAGAGCTGTCGCCCGCACATGCTGCGGCTGGTGCTGGTGCTGGTGCTGGTGGTGGTGTGGGGTCACCTGGGAAGCGGCGTGCCGACAGCTCATCCAACAGCGGAAAAGTCATGTTCCACCACTGCCTGCAGGTCCGGCACCATAACACGAGAGATGCAGACGACCGACCTGGTGCCCCTGTGTCTTCCATTCTGTGGCCACTATGTGTGTGAAGGGTTTGGAGAGCGTCAAGGCTGACCTGGAGAGTCTGCATCAGAAGGCAGCCACAGTGACACTCAACATGCTCAAGGTGGCCAGCTGGGCTGACTGACGCACACACCAGCAGACCTCCTCTGATGCGCATCCGCCCCCACATGTATGTGCCTTGCCTGTTGGTTAGGTGCATCTGTCTCCCATGCTGCTGCCGCTCGACTCGCTGGACTTCAACATCAGCCAAACCGAATACGCCGACTTCCAAGTGACTAACAAAGCCGAGTTGGACACATGTCACGTGGATGTCAGCGAGTGCCTCTTTCTTTCCCATGCCTGGCTTGCCTCAGGTGAACGATCCGTTCATGAAGGGTTTCCTTCAGCAGCTGGATGTGATCCACCAGCACGTCCAGCGGCAGTACACCCCGCCCACAGTGTCACTCATCATGGCCTCGCTCGTCGACCAGATCTGCAAGCGGCTCGAGGCACTCGTGCTGGCCAAGCAGTTCTCCCTATTCGGCGCCCTGCAGCTGGACCAGGACATACGCAGCCTCATGGCATACTGCACAGCCATCTCGGACCAGTCCATCAGACACAAGGTGGGGGGGG